CTTACTATGACACAACTTTGATCGTTTTTAATGCGGAGAGCGGCTCTGGGGCATTTAGACAGGATCTTGTGTTGCAACAATTTGGTTTTTTCACTGCTGAAAAACTGCTGTTTCGGGGAAATAATACAAATAAATTGGAGGTGGGGGCGATGAAGGCGATGGTACCACAGTATGGACTGAAATAAAGCAACTGCTTTGATAACACCTGCGTGGAAAAGAAGTTTTCCAAGAAAACTCCTTTTTTTTAATAAAAAATAAAAATGAGAGGGGGTGAGGGGGGCGGCGGAAGTGCGCGGTGAGAACTACAACTCCCATGGTGCCCCGCGCGGGAGCGACCGGAAGTGCCGCTCCGACGCGGTATCCATAGCAACGGAGGGGCCCCCCGCCATGGGGAAGGACTACTACGCCGTGCTGGAGTTGGGCCGCGACGCCCGGGACGCCGACATCAAGAAGGCGTGAGGGGCTTTGGCCTTGTCGGGAGACCCCCGGGGCCTGCCGGGGTCGGGGAGCGGGCTGGGGGACCGGGAGGTGGTGTTGGGAACGGGGGGCGGCCCTGTGCGTGGCCGCCATTTGCCTCCCCCTGCTCTCCACGGCAGGGGCCTGAGGGCGGGAAAGGGCTTGGGAGAAGCTGTGAGGGAGCAGCCTGGGCTGGGGGTGTTCTGGCACCCGCAGGGCTGGCTGTGAGGCTGGGCTCTCTCCTCCTTTTCCCCTTCGTAGTTATCGGAAGCTGGCCTTGAAGAACCATCCTTTAAAATGCAAGGAGCCCTGGGCGCCGGAGAGGTTCAGGCAGCTGGCGGAGGCCTACGATGTCCTCAGCGACCGTAAGTGAGGAGACAGTTCTCTTCCATGGAGTTTAGGGGCAGGAGGGGCTGGACGGGGGGGAAGCGTCTCTGCTCTGGCTGGAATTGCACTGAGGTCCAAACCCCCGGCCCCCGGCACACCCAGGGAGGTGGGATCAGCTCTGTGCCCCGCAGCGAGGCTGACTGCTGGCACCCATTCCTGCTTCCACCCCAGTTTGCTCTTCTCGAGGTGGCGGGGGAACCCCCTCTCCAGCCTCCCCCCAAGCAAAGCCTGGAGAGCGCGGCCATTCCCAACTCCTCCTTGTTCCCTAAGCCATGAAGAAAGGCATCTATGACAAATTTGGAGAAGAGGGTCTCAAAGGCGGCATCCCCTTGGAATTCGGTGACGACAACCCCTGGACCGTCGGCTACGTGTTTCACAACAACCCTGACAAAGTCTTCAAGGAGTTCTTTGGTGGAGACAACCCCTTTGCAGGTAGGCAGGGGGGCTCCGAGGGGTGGCCCCGGCCCCGGCTGTGGTTGCCGTGGTGCCGTGGCCACTGCCAGCTCTGAGCTTTAGGGGATGTTTGCCTGCCCAGCTACTCTCAGGTCCCTCTGGTGCTGTTGGTCCCTGGTGCTTGGAGGTTGGAACCTGACTTCCCCTGGTTTTGGGTGGGTGAGAGGCCACGTGTTCAGGCTGTCGGCTCTCCCCAGCTACCGCTGTGACCCTTTTTGTGGAGAATTTCCGTCAAAAAGAGGGGTCAGGGTTACTGCTGTAAACAAGATAAAAACCACTCCTGGAGACAAACCGCTTCAGCTGGAGGAGGAAGGTGGTCCTGGGCAGAAGCAGACGGGAGGTTTCTGGGTGGTGTATGTGGGGTGCTCGGCTTCCATAAGGAGACCCCCTGATGAGGCGATCCCCCCTCTGCTTGCTGGTGCAGAGTTCTTTGCCGAGGACGGCTCGGAGTTGATCCTGCCCTTCGGAGGGCTGCGAGGACGAGGAGCGATGAAGCAAGACCCCCCGATCGTGCGGGATCTCTACCTCTCCCTTGAAGACCTTTTCTACGGCTGCACCAAGAAGATTAAGATCTCCCGCAGGGTAGGGGCAGCGGGGTTGATGGGGGAGCGCGCCATTTTCGCCCTGGGCTCCGTCTCCTTTCTGCTCCGTGACCTGCCTCCCTCCTCTCACTGTCCCAGTCTCCTGGTTCCAGCCCTGAGTTTCTTCTTCTCAGTCTGATCCCGTTTGTACCCACAGCTGCCTTGCTGTGGAGCATAAGCCCTCCTCGCCCTCTTTGCCGCCGGCTTGCACACAGCTGGATGAGCCGTGCAGTTACAACCCCCCCTCCTTGGGCACCTTGGTGTCACAGATCCCCTCTCCCTGTTGTCCCTTGGTGGGATGATAGCCCTGCAGAGAAGGACTTGGGGGTGCTGGGGGTGAAAAGCTGGCCATGAGCCGGCAATGTGTGCTGGCAGCCCAGAAAGCCAAGCGTTTCCTGGGCTGCATCCCCCGCAGCGGGGCGAGGGAGGGGATTCCGCCCCTCTGCTCCGCTCTGGGGAGACCCCCCTGGAGCCCTGCGTCCAGCTCGGGGGTCCTCAGCACGGGAAGGACATGGAGCTGTTGGAGCGGGGCCAGGGGAGGCCACAGCCCTGATTGCGGCCTTGCCGTGCTTAACGGGGGCTTGTGAGAAAGGTGGGGACAGGCTTTTTAGCAGGGCCTGCTGCGACAGGACAAGGGGGGATGGTTTTAAACTGAAAGAGGGGAGATTCAGACTGGATGGAAGGAAGAAATTTTATACTATGAGGGCGGTGAGACACTGGCCCAGGTTGCCCCGAGAGGTGGTGGATGCCCCATCCCTGGAAACATCCAAGGTCAGGCTGGACGGGGCTGTGAGCACCCTGATCTGGTGGAAGATGTCCCTGCCCATGGCAAGGGTTGGGACTGGATGGGCTTTAAAGGTCCCTTCCAACGCAAATCCGTCGGTGATTCCATGACAGCCTGCTCAGGGGTGCCTGCTGTGTCCGCCACTGCAAGGTCATGATCCAGCCGGGGGCTCAGCGCTGCTGCAGATGGAGCCGGCCCCTGGTGCTGGCCGCTCTGGTGACAGAGTGCAGCCGTGCTCCCCCCTGGTCTCAGTCTCACCTCTCCGGACAGGACCCAGCTCTTCTAATCCCCTCATCCACCCCCAGGTGATGAATGAAGACGGTCACACGAGCAGCATCAGAGACAAGATCCTAACGATCGACGTGCAGCCGGGCTGGAAGCAGGGCACCAGGATCACCTTCGAGAAGGAAGGAGACCAGGTAACGGCCCTGGCGTGAAGTTCTGGGCCAGGTTTCCTCGGGACCGACCGCGCGCTCTTTGCAGGTTTCCCATCGCTGAGGGCAGTCGGCGGCACGGCTGACGGGGCGATCCAGCATTACTGTGCTCAGAAACACTCGAAGGAGCCCTTTCTGCCTGGATTTGCCTTGAGAGATAAAAAATAATAATTGGAAGGGATGGTTTTCCGCCTGGCATCACCTTTGCGAAACGCAGTCTGATCTCCCTTGGCTCAGCCGGAGCCTTTTATCAAAGACTTTCTTCCTTTAAGAAAAAAATAATACTTTTCCCCTCTCCCCAGCCAGCTGAAAGCAGTGACAAAGGGACAAGCATTTGTGTCACCTTTCCCTGTGTAAAATCATTTTTTTTTAAAAAAAACAAAGCCATTTCCAGGTATCTTTGTTTTTTTTCTCTCATATAAAATCATTTTCAAAAAAACAAACCACTTCCAAGTTTCTTTACTTTTTTTTTTTTTTCCTTCCTCGATTTTAGGGTCCAAACATCATCCCGGCTGACATCACCTTCGTCGTCCAAGAGAAACTCCACCCGAGGTTTAAAAGAGCCAACGACAACCTCATTTACGTCGCCACCATCCCCTTGGGAAAGGTAAAGAGCCGAGCGAGGCGCCAGAGCCGGCCCCGGCTTCTCTTTGCCCTCCGGGGCTGTGAACGCGGCTCCGGGCCCCGCTTCGTCCCTTGCAGGCGCTGATCGGCTGCACGGTGGATGTCAGGACGCTGGACGGGCGGCTGCTCAACATCCCCGTCAACCACATCGTGGAGTGAGTGCCGCGGGGCGAGGGGGTGGGGGGCTCAGGTGCTCAGATGGGGCTCTTCTGCAGAGGAATGCAGGAAAAAAAACACCGAAAAAAGCCGCTCGGGAGCACACGTGGGGCTCTGCCCGTGGACACAGCGGGGCTCGGCGCCGTGGGTCCCGCATCGCCATCGTCCCGTGCCTTCTCTCAGCCCCTTCCTTTGCTTTGCAGCCCCAAGTCCTGTAAAGTGGTGCCAGGGGAGGGGATGCCGCTGCTCCGGGACCCCCGCCGCAAGGGGGACCTCCTCATATATTTCAACATTTGCTTTCCCAGAAAGCTCACGCCTGACAAGAAAACGCTCTTGAAAAGCGCCCTCCTGTCCTAGGGGCCTAATAAAGCTCTGGTGCCAGCGCTGTCGGCGGGTAGGGGTTGTTCCTGGTACCCAGCACCCTAAAACGCGGCGCCCTTGAGGCTGTTTCCCCCGGGACTGGGCTCCACTGTGCTTTCCCCGACTCCTCCGGTGGCACCGCAGCCAAGCCGAGGGCCTTGGAGGATTTGGGGGGGGGTTGGAGTACTCGCAGCTCAGCTCGTGCGGGGGAACAGCGGTGGTTTGGGGGTGACTGCGCACAGGGGGTGAGGGAAGGACCAAAACCAGGACAGGGGCTCTGCTCAAAGCCTCGCTGCAGCTTTCCCCTTGGCGGGGGCTGGCAGCGCCACTAAAGCCCGTCCCCCATGGCGTGCGACACCCTGCGAAGCCAAACGCCTCTTTTGCTTTCAGAGAAGGCCTGGTTTGCCTTTTCCACCCCAGGGTCAGGAGGAGGACCCTAAACCCCCCCCCCCCCCCAAAAAAAAAGGCAAGGCAGCCCTGCTGCGCTCAGACTCGCCCCGCCCCCGCCTGCCCACGCCGCTCGCCGCCTTCCCACCGCTGCTGGGAAGTGCTGCTCTTCCCGGCTGGAAAAAAAAAACCTAGAACCATTTTTTTTTTTTTTCTTCCTCCCTAAACTTCTCTCGGGAAACCTCCCTTCTGCGACGTTTCTCCTTCCTCATCGGGCTGGGAGCGTTCGGCGTCGCTGCTCCCCCGCCGCTTCAGCAATTAATATAATTTACTCCTGTGACTCGCCAACGCTGACGAGAGGGACCAGGGTGGTGGGGGTCAGGACTGGGCCAGCGCCACGGCGCGCTGCAGCTGCTCGTAGGAGACGAACATCACCACGTTCCAGGAGCCCAGCCGCAGGAAGGAGGGGACGAACCTGCGCCGGGGAAAAGCAGCGCTGGAGGGGACGGTGCGGGGACGTCCCCGCGGTCCCCAAAGCCCCGGTGGCGGCACATGGGTCTGGGCCGGGCGATGCCGTGGCCTGAAGCAGAGCTGGTCCGCACTGGTGTCATTGCGTCCCCAAACTCACCCCTTGTAGAAGCCGGCGAGGCCGTCCTGCATCAGCAGGGCCAGGAGGCAGCTGAGCACGTTCCGGTACTGCCCGGGGCCGGCGTTCATGTACCGCGTCTTCACCACGTCCACCGGCGACGCTACCACCGTGGCGCAGAAGCCGGCGCCAAAGGCGGCTACGAAGTGGCAGGGGACGTTGTCTGCGGGGCAGAGCCGGGGGGGGTGAGGGTCGCGGGGATGGGGACGGCGCCCGGCTGCGTCCCCTCCCGTGCCGGCCTCACCTGTCATCAGCTGTGCCCGCAGCAGCGTGTCCTTGATGAGGTCATAGGTGACGAGCTCTCCGCAGTTGATGATGGCGTTGCGGGCGATGTTGGGCAGCGTCCCTGTGCGGGAGCGGGGTGCCATCGGGGGTGGCGGTCACGTCCCCTCCTGGAGCATCCTGGATGGGTGCCCCAGCCCTGCTCTCCCTGTCCCCATTCCCATTCCATCCCTGTCCCAGCCTCCATTCCCCTCTGCATCTCCCATCCCTGTCCCCTTCCTCATCCCCATCCCCATTTCTGTTCCCATTTCCATTCCTGTTCCCATCCCAGTTCCCTTCTTCATCCCCATCCTCATTTCTGTTCCCATTTACATTCCTGTTCCCATCCCATCTCTGTCCCCTTCCTCATTCCTATCCCCATTCCCATTTCTGTTCCCATTTATATTCCTATGCCATCCCTGTCTCCTTCCTCATCCCCATGTTTTCCATTTCAATTTCTATTCTGATCCCAGTTCCCTTCCTCATTCCTGTTCCCACCCCATCCCTGTCCCCATTCCCCTATCCATCCCAATCCCCGTTGCCATCCATCCCTACCTCTCCACAGCCCACGGACGCCCTCCTCCCTGGCGATGGTGCGGTAGGCATCTACGGTGCCGCTGTACCGACGGGCGCCGTCCGCCAGCGCCCCGTTGGCTTGGAACCGAACCTTGACCACGTCGGTGGGTTGGGCGCACGTCACCGCCACTGCCCCGGTGGTGCAGCCCGCCAACACCCGCGCTGCCAGCCCTGTGCCTGGAGAGGGCAGGCGCTGGGACCCCCGGCTGTGTGGGGACCTTCAGCTGTGCAGGAACCCCTGGCTGTGCAGAGACCTTTGGCTGTGCGGGAACCCCCGGCTGTGTGGGGACCCCAGCCATGTGGGGACCTTTGGGTGTGTGGGAACCCCCAGCTGTGCAGGGACCCCCCGGCCGTGTGGGGACCTTTGGCTGTGCGGGAACCCCTGGCTGTGCGGGGACACCCGGCCATGTGGGGACACCTGGCCATGTGGGGACCTTCAGCTGTGTGGGGACCTTCGGCTGTGTGGGAACCCCCGGCTGTGCGGGAATCCAGCAGCGAGTGGCTTGGGGTCGGGGGTGCTTTGTGGAGGGTGCATTTTGGGGTGGTTGTGCACGTCAGGGTGGGTTGTTCACCCCAGGTTGGGTTGTTTCCCATCAGGGTGGGCCGTGTCCCTCCAAGCGAGGGGTTGTGCAGGATGGGGGTTGCGCAGGGACGGGGGTCCGACCGCCCGAACACTCACTCTCGGCACCCTTGGGGGTGTAGAGCTGCTTCACCGAGTCGTACAGCCCGATGCGGATGGAGGCGAAGCTCATCTGCCGCTGCAGCCCGGCCGCCAGCCCGCTGTAGAGGCTGCGGGGTCCCTCTGTCCGCACCATGGTGCTCAGCGTCCCCAAAACGCCCCGGTATTCCACGGTGCCGGTGCTCCGGGGGATCCGCACCTCGCCTTGGATCTGTGGGACGCCGACCGCGTCACCCTGCCCTCCATCCACCCCCCCCAAAACCGCCGCCGGCTCTGGGGTCCCGCTGTTGCAGGGTGTTCCCTCTGCCCGTGGGATTCCGGGGGGCCCGGCGGGTCGTACCTGCAGCCGCACTTTGGCGGTGTCCAGGGGGAAGGTGCAGAGGTCGGCGATGCAGCCGGCCATCCCCGCGCTGACGAACTTCACGGCGGCTGTCGGGGGCACCTCGGGGGGCTTCAGGCCCACCATCGTGGCGGAGGGGCTGGAAGGAAAGAGGGGGGCGGTCGGGACGCTGCGTCGGACGGGGCTTCCAGGCGGTGGCCGGTTTGGGGACAGAGGTGACGATGTGCCATGGTGGCTCTGGCTGGCTTCGGACTAACCGAAAGCCAAATTCTGCCCTATTGCCTCGCCTGCATCCCTGGGGAAACTGAGGCTCGGGGCTTCCTCGCCGCCAGCGCCCACCCCTCCCTCCCACCCAGGCCGAAACAGGGGCGCGCGGTGAAAGCCTCTCCCCCACGGTGGCCTGCCTGGGGCCGGGTCCCCCCTGGCCTCACCGTGGGGACCTCGGCACCGCGTCCTGGCTCCTGCCTTACGCCCCTCTCCGTGCAGCCATCGCCCTCAGAGCCGGCGCCTTGGCCCCCCCTTATATGGCACCCGGGGGGGGACGGGACGGGGACGCTCCGGCGGCCGCGGGGATCGGGTGACAGCGAAACCCCGCTGGCATTTGAGCCGATGAGAGCGGGGCCACCCAGCACCCGTGACAGGGTGGCTGGGTTTCAGCCCTCTGCTCCCCCACCCAGCCCACCGGCACCCACTGCAGCAAAGCTGTGGGGCAGCAGCACCCGACAACGCGGTCCTGTCCTGCCCGTTTGGTGGCCGCTGGGACCTTGGTTTGTTTTTTTTTTTAGCCCGAATGCGCTTGGGAAGGACAAGATGCAGAAAACGCTTGCCCAAGGTTTAAGTAAAGCAGTTCGGAGGCAGAGCAGCGCCGAGCGCTCCCCGCTTTGCCCCTGGCACGGCCCACGCAGCCGTAATTCATCCCTGGCAGCTGCCGAGCTTGTTTACCGGCGGGCTTTCCTCCGCGTGGTGTAACATGCCCCCCGCGCTCACGTGGAGCAGCCCGGGGCAGGGGCCACGCGAGCGGCTCAGAGGTAAAACCCTCCTGTGTTCCCGTGATGGAAACCACGGTGCCCTTTTGAGCGTGGCCGTGCCCTGGGTCTGCGGCCAAGGCAAAGGTGCTGCCAGGAACGGTGTGGCCAGCAGGAGCAGGGCAGGGATGGTCCCCCTGTGCTGGGCACTGGGGAGGCCGCCCCTCGAATGCTGTGCTCAGCGCTGGGCCCCTCACCCCAAGGCGGCCATGGAGGGGCTGGAGCGTGGCCAGAGCAGGGCAGCGAGGCTGGGGCAGGGGCTGGAGCCCAAGGCTGGGGAGGAGCGGCTGGGGGAGCTGGGGGG